GTCTATTGAAGAAACTGAATAAGGGGCAAAAACCTTACCTTCGATTTTCTCAAAACAGCATTTTTCGGGAGAGCCCCCTTGTGCTTAAAGGCGACCAGTTCATAAATTGTTCTTTCTCGTTTTGGTAAACGTTTCACGGCGCTTGCAACGGTTAATATGTGGGGTTTTTTTTTGTTTGTAAAGCTTTTACGGCACTTGCAACAGTTAATGCGTTTTTCTTTTCTAATTTGTAAAACTTTGACGGCACTTGCAAAACAAGTAGGCCATATTAGTCATCAAGATAAGAGGTACAACGATGATTCGAGTCCCAGCTCAGTCCGGCTTTGTGTTCTTAAGAAATAGCATTTTACATGATTTGTTTTCCCTTTTGGCTCGGCACTATCGGAGATGGGCGTTAGAATCGCAGGTCCCGCCTCTTAGATAACAATACACACTTCAACATAAGTAAAGGACCACTTGCAAATTAGGCTAAAATTCCCGGATGATTTCCGTGCTGCACGTTGTGCTTTCGCCCCTTAAAACACTTTGCCGTCTCATCTCGCCGATTGGCGATGTTTGCCACCCAGTTTATTTGGATTTTCCCCAAAATATGATGACATTGCAATGCGCATTGTTAACACTTTCAGAGCAAAACATTTTGAAATATTCCTTGCTCTCTTTTTCGGATTTCGAAACATCAGGGCTAATGGTCAAGGTTATCCTTAACTTATGTTGGAATCTGTATAACTTTGCAGTGTGGAAAGAGACTGTTAAACGTTTTACTATTGGTCGCTTTTAAGGACAAGTGGGCTAACCCAGATTCCGGGGGTATCCAGAAATCTTGACCTACACGTATTCGAGAAGTTTAGTTTCATTGGTGTGTATATTTGTTTGGTTATAGAGAAAATCTTCTTTTCTTTTAAAGAAACTGAACAAGGAGCAAAAGCATTACCTTTGACTTTCTCAAAACAGCATTTTTCGGGACAGATCTAGCCCCTTTGTGCTTGAAAGCGACAAATTTCGCAAAATGTTTCCCCAGGTTACGTCAACGACTTTGACGCCCTGATGGAGTTCCAGTGTCATAACGACTACATCATCGCCGGCATCTCCAGTTACCATGACAACGGCAAAGAGGACAGACGCTTTAAGTTCCAGTGTTGCAAGCCAGGGAGTGAGTAGGATGATTTGCTTTTTTCATGATGGTTGTTGTTGTTGTTGTTAGCAATCCAGCTAATGACTAAAGTGTATTTATATCATTCCCAAAAGGGGGGCGAGGGGGCATTAACATCTCGAGTTCTTATGCACAGTAGAATTATATTGTTCATAACTGTGCCTGAACTGGAACAGGGAACTGAGCTGCTGCTTTTTCTTTCCTAGAGAGGTGAGCAGAGTAAGTCTGATTCACTGTAAGAACTTCTCTGTTGACATCACTGGCGCTCATTTGACCTCATACAGTAACACCTCTACACAAAAAACCCCAATCAGGAATCACAACCGCCCCAGTGGTCAGTGAACTCAGGCTTAAACATAACGTCCAGATAAGCTAGCTGGTAGCACTAGTTTTTAGGTTACGTTGGTGTGTGGATAAGCGAGAGTCGTTAACCAAAACTGGGCAACAGGATGCTACCCGGCCGTAGTGGCCACCAGTGTCTGGTACTTATTTTGTGTAAGATCTTGTTGTTTCTTTCTTTACCCTATCCGTACGCCCCGGGTCATTTTGTACCCCCGGGGTTGTATTCTTCACATTTTAAAATACTGCTAGTTCGAAGACTGCAATGCAAAACGTACAAATCGGATTAACGAGTAAATTTCCTCTTTGAAAGTGTTCCCCACGTCGTATTATACAATAGTAAAACACGGCGCATGGAAAGGGTTAATTGGTCGCTTTTAAGGACAAATCCAGTAGCTTCAGTACTTGTTAGTACTTGGGCACTTGTATGTTTTTTCAATGAAAGGCTAGATAGGAAAAGACAAAACAGGACGAAAATAAAGTATAGTATGATGTCGCTTGATGTCTTTATTCGGATAACAGTTTTGCCTAACTTCGGGGACAGTGGCATGACGCTGACAAAATGGCAGAATGTGCCTTACATCCTGAGTCCGTTTAATAACAAATCTGTCAAGATGTGGTAGGATTAGGTGCTAGTCAGTTTTTTGGCAATAAAGAGCTATTGGTGGTATCATCCTAAAGCTTGGTCATTGGCCTTATTTTAAACGAAAAAGTACCCATCTATCAAGAAGAAAAGTGGAAATGTTTGCAATTGAAGACGCTTGGGATCGCTTGGCGTAAGCGGTAAAATTAGCG